TGATTTCACCTAGAAATCCACATTTCTATTTCCAAGGCCTTCAGACCTTAAGCATGAAGACAGAAACATGGGAACCATAATTACCTACATCATTTGCTTCTGTGAATTATCAGTAAGAATGGTCATCTAGGTTAATGCGATAACAAATGACCTCACAATCTCATTGGCTTAAAATAACAGTGGTTTCCCATTCCTACCACATGTTCTCCTTGGATTGGACAAAATCCCAGCTAATGGAGTAGCTTCTATCTAAAAGACCGTTCCTCCCTGGAAAGATGGAAAAAAATCATGGTGAATTGTAGACTATCATGATATGTCATGATATTATATGATACATCACTTGTCTTCACATTTCTCTGGACATATGGTTGAGTTGATATTGTGGGTCAGATAAGTATGTCATGCATACATATATCCTTCTATCACCCAGGCCCAATGGTTCACCAGGCACTTGAAGAGGGCCTTTCTGGGTTCTGCCAAGAATCTCTACCCTGAACTGCTCTACCCACTTAACTGTTCCTCCAAGAAAGTAAACGCCTCACTGGGTCCCTAAAAGTGGAGCCATTTCTGTGTGACTAAAGGGTCTGTCCTCATGGCATAGCTTAGACATTGAATACACATTTATGGAGATGATAAGGAGTGATATCGTGCACCTGCTTATTGCTCACCATATGTCTTTCTGAGAATACTACAGAATGAGCCTTGATCTTAGATGAGACCGTCCTTCTCTCAAGATCCTCCCACTTAACTTCATCCCTTCCTATGCCCTGCAATGGACTCTGAAAGCTCCATGCACATCACTCTTGCCACATTCCCACTTTGGAATGCTAGAGGACACTGCCTATCCACATTCAGGCCACACACAGCAGAATTCAGACCTAAGTGACCACCCGTCGATGACCTTATTTGACCTCCTACATTGTCCTATGCTGATAAATCTCCCCCATTCTGCCCTGTCTCTATTTGCCGCTCAGGTGGAGCAGCTCCACCCTGGTAGAGCCCAGGGATTCGGAATCAGGTCTCGCCACTGGTTTGGAGCCTCTAGCTCTGAGGCTATAGCTGTAGGGCACCAGAAGAACATGAATCCTTTGCATCTAGTGGCTCCAGTAATTGTCACTGAGGACTCCAAAGGAGCAACATGAGCATCCTTGGATGTGCAGTTGCTGCCACACCATGTCTGCAAATGCCATATCTTGTTTTCTCACAGCTCTCCTATGGGATCTTTTGAGAAGTGGTGAACGAACTTTGGGTGGAAATGAATCTTCCTCAGTTTAAGTATAGCAAGAACTACATTCAATCTGTTAAGTCCATGGAAGTTTGCACCATCTGGTTAATGCATCATGTTCTCCAGCAGGCAACATCTGCGGACAGGGAAGGGGGACTGCCATCTCCCCCACTCCCAGGAAGACACTGGACCTCTGCTTGGGTGGCTTAAGTGTGCACCTCTGTGAGCAGATACATATATAGAGGATGGGCATCTCATGAGACTGGGGTGGTCAGCTCGGCTGGCTGGTCATTACATACTAGTGTGTGTCAGACACATATCATTTGCACGTCACAGCCACACCTGTCTCTAGCTAGTCATGTGGTGGTACAACCCTGGTCTAGTCCTTTCCTCCCTGGGCTTCAGTTTCCACATTAGCTAAATTCATAAAAAGTTATAGCATTTTGTTCCAGGTCAGTGAGGAGGTTCAAGAAGGAGCCTAGGCCCTGGAGCTGGAAAACCCTGATGATGGGTGTTCTCAATAGCTGGTTATGAGTCTGGGCTCTCTCAGTCTGGGGCCTCTTACCTATCAACTGGAATCTTAGTGGTGTTCACCATACAGTCATATAACAAAGGAACAGGTGTGTTGGGTAGTTTACGAATTCTGGACTGGCATCCACTCAGTGTCCCATGGGAAGTTCCTTGGGATATAGTAAAGTAAAAACATAGGAAAGATAACGTTCTATGGATTCCAGCTCTGTCTCTAGAGCATCCCTGTTCTGGGTGAGGCTACTCTTTGATCAGCTTGCTTCCCTAACACTGTCCATGTCTCTTCCATCATGTCACACTAGTCCTTGCTCTGCACTTCTCTTCAAATCTGTTTCTGGGGCCAGTTTTCACTCAGTTCCTTCACCAGTCTAATTATTAAGTGCTGTGTGAATTCTACAGGTACAGAAAAACTCTTAACTGATAGAGGGATCCTCATAGGTTAGTTTCCAGCCCTGCCAAGCCTCACCCTAGTCCCCTGTGTGCCACCATGGCTGTTCCATTGATGGCAGAGTACCCTCCCCATATACACTGTACATATACCTCTGCTCTGTTCTTGGATGAGCCCTATTGACTTTTGGGGGGTTCTAAATGATCACTCTGCATCTCTATATCCACCCTGGGTTTCAAGAATGAGTAACATGTGCCCGAGTCACTGGTTGTCTTCCTGCTGCACACATCCAAGGGTCAGAGCTAATGCCATTATCAGTAAAAGAGGCTGCTGTGATACGATTCTGTGGCTGATAGGGAAATGAACTTTTCAATATGCCACAGATCTCTTATTCCCAAACCACCCACAAATCTCTCCCTGCTACCACCTTGACTAATGTCCTTTTTCCCAGTATATATGGAGAATGCTGCCCAAGGAAGGCAAAAGTGATAACATGAGCTTGCTTTTCAGATAAGTAGTATATGCCAGGTGGAACACTGTGAGGTGAGAATAAGTAGGTATGATAAGAGCTGGGAGGCATGGACCAGAGGCAGGATGGTCACCTGAGCACTGAGTGACTTGCCAGAGCTTGCCTGCCAGCCTTCCTTCCTTTCTTTTTTCCTTTTTTTCTGCTATGTATATGTTATATTGTATGTATGTTATGTTATGTGTATTGTGGCATATGTACCTATTAGTGTAGATGTGCATACATGAGTACATAGATGTATATACGTGAACATGTGTGTGTGTGTGTGTGTGTGTGTGTGTGTGTGTGTGTGTGTGTGTGTGTGTAAGTCAAAAGTAAGCATTAAGTATCTCTCCCCATCACTCTCCTTGCTTTTTGAGTCAGGGTCTCTCACTGAACCTGAAGGTCATTGACTTGACAAGGCTGACTCCAGTCAGTGAGGCTGGCTCCAGGTTCTGTCTGTCTCCACCCACTCCCTCCTAGTTCCAGGCTTACAGACACATACCGCCGTGCCTGGCATTTTATGTGGGTTGTGGAGATCTAACTGTATGCTAGCTTGGCAGGCCCTTTACTGATTGAGTCATCTCCCCCCAGCCTCTGCCAGAGCATCTTAGGGGGGCACTGGAAAAGAGAAAGGGCAGTTGGAAGTAGGGACTGAGTATCTATTGTGTGTCAAGTGCAGTAACAGGCAATGTTCCTAGAAAACGCCTGTGTGAATCATGCCATCAGTTCTGCCCACACCTCCCACAGAGAATCGTGAATGGAAGGCCTGCATCCCCCACCTTCTCAAGGATGGCCTTCCTAGAGGCCCTTTCGGAATGAACTGACTGTAGTACTAGCAGAGCCCCTGTGCTCAAAGGAATCCTATTTTCCCATGTGGTATAGTCTTCCACTCCAAGCCGATGAATATGTGCCTGATGATCCGTTCCAAAGCCAAAGGGAAGTCTGGCTAGAATGTACATTTTAAGAAACTTGTTTCCAGTGTGGCACCTTCCCTTAGGAGACTTGTCATGACAGCTGACCTTGAAAGCCAAACCCTGGGTGAGATGACTTTCTGCTCTGCAGAAGTCAAAAGGCCACTGACCCATCAAACGTCAGATAGTGCACACTTCCCACCATCCGTCAGCATGTACAGCAGGAGGCAGCTGTTCTCACCTTCATACCACCAAGATAACACTTATAATGACTGCTCAGTGCCCTGCCCGGAGGCAGCCCCATGCACAGCCCTGGCAAAGCTGGCATTTCCCAATTCTTCTTTCTTGAACCTAGTAGGGAGATCTCAGCTCCCCCTCCCCCCACACACACACACCCCATCATACTTGAGCAGCTGAGCCCTGTTTCTGTGGAACAGAGGCTGCTGCTCCATAGAATGAATGGGGGCCCAAGGATCCTCCCAAAAGAACACCCAGCTGTTCCCTCTCTCCAACCTTCCACAAAGCTGCCCTTGGTGGGTCCTGTATAGTCTTGCTGGTTCGGAATAAACCTTCCTGCTCTGGCCTGGCAAAAATCACAGTAATGGTGATGATAAAATTGTAGCTCACGCTGAGTGAGCACTCATCATGTGTTAAGCATATAGCTGCGAGCTTGAATGCATAAAATTCTATTCAGTCCCCACATACACCGAGGAAGGGAAGACAGTCAGAGAGATGAAGGGACATGTTCCCAGTCACAAAGCTGCCAAGTCAAGCTGCCAGGTGTCAAATGCAAGTGCTCCAGTGCTGCAGACCTTGGAGCCCCTGTTCTCAAGCACTGTACCGTTTGACTTCAGCAAATGGTTGTGGGAAAATGTTAGTGTGTACAAAGTGGCTTGCCACCTTCTCTCAATGAGAACCCAGAATCTTCCCCAGTCATAACCCTGATCACACTATGTTGTCTCTTAGAGTCTCCATGGTAATAAGTATTTGACTCTCCTCCATGTGGACAGACCTTAGCAAGGGTCAGGGAATAGGGTTAGTGCTCAGTAAATGACTGACAGGTTAATTGATTGATGGGTGCATGAATGAATCCATTCACCCGAATGAAGCCCTGACTGTGTGCAAGAAATCGAGCCAATACAAGCCCTATAGTTCTCTAACTCTTTAGGCTCCTCTCACACCTTTTCTTGTACCCAATTGTGCCAGCCTGGACATATGTATCACTTTCCTCTGCAAGTTACTAATGTATGCCTAAGCAAACCAGAAGCAAGTCAGAGACTGGAATGATACTGGGCTCTTTCCTGAGCCATCTAGGTCAGGAATAAGCAAGGACCTCATTAAGTATACTAGCTGCATTCTAACACAGATGCAGAAGTCAGAAGGTAAGGATACCTCCCACCCCCGGGAAAAACTCACTGCTTTCGTCTCTTCCCCTTGCAGGAGCATCCTCAGGCATCATTGACCTCTTGCCATCCCCGAGTGCAGCTACCAACTGGACTGCGGGACTGCTGGTGGACAGCAGTGAGATGATCTTCAAGTTTGATGGCAGGCAGGGTGCCAAGATCCCTGATGGGATTGTGCCCAAGAACCTGACAGACCAGTTCACCATCACTATGTGGATGAAGCATGGCCCCAGCCCGGGTGTGAGAGCTGAGAAGGAAACCATCCTCTGTAACTCGGATAAAACTGGTGAGTCTCCAAGCCTGCTATGTCCCCGATGGCTGGGCAGATGTCACTGTGGAGGCTGTGTTAAAACAGAGGCACCATAGCGAGCTTGGGAATGGATTCTGCTCTCTGGTTTTCCAGTTGCTGATTTTCTAGGATTCAGGTAAAGCAGGGTTAGGAGAGATTGGAAAGAAAAGATGCAAACAGAGAGAATGCAGCAGTTTGAGTCACTGATCTCCAAACTGAGTTCCTCAGAACTCCCAAGTCTATGGAAGTACCTTAGGGCTACTATAGGTGAGGTGGGGGTTGGGGTGGGCAGGTTCATTCATCCTTCCTGCAACAAAGAAACCCCAAATGTACTGTATCATATAAGTATTTCCAAAAGCCCTCCTTTGAATCAAAGTATCCTCTCAACTGAAAGCATTTCAAACTTAAAGTTTGAAATGGGGACAGTGATAGCTAACAGGTGCTGCATGTTTCTCTCATGCCGGGCCCACACAAGGGAGCTCTGGGGATTGACCACGCCCCTTCACTTACAGATGGGTGACCTTGTTATAAAACTATCTTCCCCATGAGCTATTACTGATTAAGCAGCTTAATTATACACAAAGTGCTCAGAACAGTGCTGGGCACTTAGAATGTGTGGTTGGTGTCAGCTACTCCTTTTCTGAACCTTTACAACGAATTTTATGAATGCATTATTGTGCTTCCCATCTTAAGGATAAGGAAATATTCACTGAGAGGTTATGCATCTTGTCCCAAGTAGTTACACAGCCAATAAACACTGGAACAGGAATTTCAGTTTAGTTTCTACTAAGGCCACATCCTATGCATGTATCATTGCACCTTCATGTGCACACTCGAGTACGTGCGTGCGTACATACATACACGACTTGAGATCTCTTGCCAGATTTACAACTCTGTCTTTAATTTTGATTCCTGTCACCCATTTCAAATGTAACTTTTGTTCAAATGCTCAAGTAAATCAGTGTTTATAACTGTCGGGCAGCACAGAGGGTAACTGGCAGCTCAGCACATGCTGAGCTTAAGATTGGCACAGAGGGCTGGAGAGATGGTATAGTGGGTAGAGGCACTGGCCTCCAAGTCTGACAACCTGAGTTTGGTGCTTGCAATGTACGACTTGGAAGGAAAGAAAGAATTCCTTCAAAATTGTCTCCTGACTTCCATAAGTACAAGATTGTGTTCTTGGACACATACACATATGCAGACATTGACACACACACACACACACACACACACACACACACACATACACACGCATGCACGCACGCACGCACGCACGCAGCACGCACGCACGCATGCACACACACGCACGCATCACAAACACATGTTTATAAAAAGGTTGTTACAGAAAAGGTGGAAAGGTTTTAGTCTAACTTAGTTCCCTGGAGGGAAAGTACTACAAATACAGAATGTTAGGATTTAATCAAGACCTGATTAGGACTCTTATTTTATATCAGAAAGCTTTTCCAGTGGGAAGGTGATATATATATTGCAGCAGAAATGGAGAAAGCGCAAGAAAGTATCAAAATATACAAACCAACCTAAAATCCAAACACTTGGAGAGGTATTATCTGCTAACATTCTATTTCATTAAAATGTTACTTTTATCTCTGTAAGTAGAATGTTCTTCCCATTTCAATTTATTTTTATAACACACGTGGGGTTCTTTTTTCATATATAACTATACCCAGGTCATAACTCCATGTAATAAAGCATCCTTTTTGGAGGGGTGTGAGTAACAAAATCTCATGTTGTCCACACTGGCCTTGAATTTCTGAGCCTCCTGTCTCTACCTCCCAAGTACAAGGACTGCAGGCATGCCCCGCCATGCCTGACAGATAAAACAGTCTGTAAAAACTAAATTGCATGCCAGTTTAAAACTCTGCTGTGTGGATTTATCATACTTTATTTAATGGTTTCTTTTGTCAGCTACTTAGAGTGTCTCTTTCTAAAGGCAAATAAAACAACGCTGTAGTGAACCTTCTAGAATATAACTTTCACACATTTCTGATTGTTTCCTGGCTGGAAGTTGGATTACTAGGTCAAAGAATATAAATATTGAGAAAATTATGAAATTGGCCTTCATGAGTATTACATTGCTTTCTGTTTGGTGAACTAAACAAAATTGACTAATGTTGGTCCATTATAAAGCCATCTATAATAGTTGGATAGCAGAATTGATTAGTCAGCAATGGCTAACTGTGTGGAAGAAAGAGAGAGAGAAGGAAAGCCTCCATTACCATTACGGCCAGTAAAGCTCTCGGTAGCCACCACTCTCCTCTCCTGGCTTCCCTCATTCATTTGTCCAACAGTGGTATCGAGATAGTCTGAGACAAGAATCCTTGCATTGTTCCGTCTGGCTATACTTAGCCATCAAAGAGGAAGAATAGTGTTGAGTGCAGAGGGTTTATTGACCTCTGACCATTAGCTTCCACTTTCCAGAACTTGGTCACAGGGCCCTCACCCAGCCACGGAGAGGCTGTGAAATGTGGTTAATCATCTATCTGAGAGCAAAGGAAGTAGCATTAGGTCCGCACATAACAGTGCTTTTGCTATAAAGGATGCGTGGGCCTTTGCTGGCCTTTGTCTACCCATACCCTGTGTGAGCGATGCTAATGCCTGTTACCACTCACAATCCCTCCCCAAATCCTTCCCCGTCTCCATAATGTCTTCATGCCCACACTTCTGCCCCTGCAGCTAAGATCTCTTCCTACTGGGGTGACGTCGCCCTGCTCACTTTGAGTTCAGCTGAAAACAGAGAATAAGTGGCCATATGCAGGGCTTGACATTTCCTGATGGGAATTCTAAGACACAAGGGCCAGCCTGACCTAGCACTGACAGAGTGTCAGCCCAGTAGGGAGGACTACAGTGACCCTCCAGCCAATGGGAACACAAGGGTGTGCCCTCAGCCCCTGAGTGACTAGAAAACTGCTCAGAAGGCTTGCAACTGTAAGAAGAGGTGGGACCCTCTGCCACTCCCTGCTGCCTGTTGGTTGACTGGGAGGTGCTCCTTAGCCTGTGTGTTGATCCAGGAGTCTGCAGCAGTGAGGCAGAGGGAAGGAGGAAGGGCCTAGGCTGAAAGATGCTCTAGCAGAGGAGGTCTGTTCTTGCAGTCTTCCTGGTCCACCTCCACCCCAGTTGATTCCAAATAAACCTAACAAAGGCAGAAAATCTTTCCTCCCTCCTTTTCTTAACAGTTCTTAATAGGAACACAGAAAATATAATCATGAAGGGGCAAGAAGCATTTAGTAGACTACCCATAACCAAGTCAAAGGGGTTTTGTCAACCCAGATGCTAAGAGTGGTTCCCCCCAAAACTGGGCACATATAGCAACCGCCCATCCTCCCTCCTGCCATGCTTGGGTTGGGTTCTGGAGAATGCTGATGCTTTGGTAGAAACAGCATTCGACATGTCTGTGCTGCTGGAGTCCCAAGGCATAGCAATGGCCTTTATAATAACCGACAGCCACTGAGCATCTGTTCCAGGCAGATGCTTTATGCACATTTCCTCATTGTGGCAATTAAGATGCTATCCATTACAGAGATGGGAAGTCCAGATCAAATGTTATCAGATAACTTGAAAATCAAACCAAAGCAGAGAATGTAGATGTAGTTTTCGTGTACCTGAAAACTCCCAGGTCTTAGATGGCTTCATTGCATCCTATAGGTAAAGTGTGATCAAGGTCCAGGTTCCTTTTCTCTGCATTTTCTCAGATCCCTGTCTACACATGTACCAGTTTCAGATTAGCAGATAAGGCTGCAGCTGCCATAGACCTCTGGATTTATATTGCATTTATACTGTCTCTCAAGAAAACATCCCTCAGGTTCACATTCTGCTGACACCTATCACAGAACTGCTTAGGAAAGTACTGACCATTGGCCAGGACCAAGTCTCAGCAGAGGCCATGTGGCCAAGAGAATGGCCCTCTCTGTTGACCTTGGGCAGGCATCTTGAACCAGTTTCTGTGTTGGGGGAGTGGCAGGAGCCTATTTAAACAGAGCCAATCAAGGCTCATTTCTAGAAATGAAGCCAATGTTGACTTCATAGCAAGGTTTATACAGGATGTACAAGAAGCTAGTCCACTATCCCTATCCTAACTCAGGTAAGGAAACTGAGATACCATGAAGCTAGATGATCCTCATACCATCAAAGATACAGTTCCACCAAAGTCTTTTTTTTTAAGATTTTATTTTATATGCATTTATGTTTTGTCCACATCTATGTGAGGGTATTGGATCCCCTGGAACCAAAGTTATAGACAGTTGTGAGCTGCCATGTGGGTGCTAGGAATTGAACCCAGGTCCTCTAGAAGAGCAGCCAGTGCTATTAACCACTGAGCCATCTCTCTAGATCTCCACCAAAGTCTTAATGTAAGGCTATGCTCATCTCCATATAGGGCCCATGTACTCATTTACCCACTTAGAGTACACATGCATCCTAGTAAATTTCTCTGTGTTCTACAGCCAAGTAAAATGTGCTTTCTCTGTGTTGGTACAGAATAGCTCCTCTCCTGCCAATTGGTAGTGTCTTGTGGCTCTAAGTGTCATGGCTAAAACCATGACATAAGATTTCCTAAGCAGTAAGGAAGTTTTTATATCAGAGGAGGGAAAGGTTCCATTGATTGATCGCTATGCCTGGGGAGGCGGGGATTATTCATCGCTTTGAAGAGCCACAGAGTTATGTCTAATGCTGGAAAATCAATTTGTCTCCTCCTAGCAGCTAAAAGCAAGGCAGCCCCTCTTAGCATAGATTAGGGAGACAAAGAGATGAGTTCTGTGGTCACTGTGTCAAGACTGACAAAATAAAACAAATCCCAGAACTCTAGGAGAAACCAGCCATGCTGGAGAAGCCCAGAGAAGCTGATATGTGTAGCTGGAAGTTTTTCTGTGTCCTGGTTAGTTGTGACAATTCTCTCCCATTCGTGTCTTCCAAGTAAGCACACAGAGGCTTATATTAATTATAACTGCTTGGCCATTAGCTCAGGCTTATTACTGACTAGATCTTATCCTTAATTTAACCCATAATTTTTGTTTATGTTTAGTCACATGGCTTGGTACCTTTTCTGAGTTCTGCTTTATTATCTTGCTTCCTCTGTGTCTGGCTAGTGACTCCTGACTCAGCCTTCCTCTTTCCAGAATTCTCCTTGTCTGCTCACCTTGCCTATACTTCCTGCCTGGCTACTGGCCAATCAGAGTTTTATTTTTCAACCAATCAGAGCAACACATATTCACAGAACAACATCCCACAGCACTTGCCCTTTTCTATCTAATCAAAAAGGAAGATTTTAACTTTAACATAGTAAAATTACATATAACAAAACAGTTATCAAGCAAGAATTACAGTTACAATATCCAGTCTATCTGTATTTGGCAAAATTAAAGAAAATATTTTATCTATCCTATATTTGTGAGTCTAAAGTTTCATATCTAATTTATCTTTTATCAAAACCAAGGAAAATTATAATTATAACTCATCAACTAATCAGAGCAACACATATTCACAGCATGCAGAACAATATCCCACAGCAGACGTGATTGACAGAAATCCTCTGTAAGTACCACACCATGAGCTTGCCAACATAATCACTGTTCACTGGGATCTGATGGAGTAGATGTTGGGCCAGTGTCTAAAGGCAAAGTAGCTTCTCCGAAGAAGTTTTTCTCTGGGTCCTCCCAGGGCTTACTCCATTTCAAAGTCTTCCCCCAAATATGCTCTGGAAAATTCATCAAATGTGAAAATGAGAGAGACCATTTCTTTGTCTTCTAAGCTGTGCCTAGCAACATAACGGAAGACTCTTTGGGTAGAAGCAGACAGAGATTCTCTCATGCCCCGACCCCATTTCTGCCTTTCAGAAATGAACCGGCATCACTACGCCCTGTATGTTCACAACTGCCGCCTCGTCTTCCTCCTGCGGAAGGACTTCGACCAGGCAGACACCTTCCGTCCTGCAGAGTTTCACTGGAAGCTGGACCAGGTGAGGCTCTCGGGGCATGCCTTCTCCTCTCTCCTCTGTAGGGACCATCTGTTTGCTCCCGGGGCAGTGGCAGTGGGCAGGTGCTCTCCAGGTCTGCTAGGTTTCTTGGTTTGGGGAAAGTCAGTTCAGGAAGGCACCCAGCATCTTAAGTCAGGATGGAAGCGCTCCCATGAGAGCCAGTAAGAGGGAAAAGGGCCACATGTGCCAGCTGAGATGCCACAGGACCTGAGCACCTGTGTGCCTGCTCCACCTACTCTTGGTTAAGCTCATGGGAAGATGTTTGTCCTGACCCCAGGCCCAGCTGATGATCTCTGACTTTGCGTGTCAGTGAGCCTCAGGTCTCACCTTTGATGTGTTCCTTCCTCCTTTGGGCGATAGTATGACTTGCTTTTGGTGACAGGTGATGGAGAACAGAGACCTGAGGACTTTGAAGGAAGTAATGACATGGAGCATTGTTAGCAGTGTCTGCTTTTTTTTTGTTTGTTTGTTTGTTTGTTTGTTTGGTTGGTTGGTTGGTTTTTTTTTTGTTTGTTTGTTTGTTTGGTTGGTTGGTTGGTTGGTTGGTTTTTCAAGACAGGGTTTCTCTGTGTAGCTTTGCACCTGTCCTGGAACTCACTTGGTAGCCCAGGCTGGCCTCGAACTCACAGAGATCCGCCTGGCTCTGCCTCCCGAGTGCTGGGATTAAAAGCATGCGCCACCACCGCCCGGCTAGTGTCTGCTTTTTTCTGAAGTGGAAAATCTGACTCACTGGTGCTTTATGGCTTGATCACAGGGCCTGGTACATCACACTTCTCCACGACAAGCCATGTGTCTGGGTTGAGTCCAGAGCTTTGAAGTGTGTGTTCCAGAGGGATGTACAGCACCGAGACTACCAGAGAGTACTCCTTTCAGGGGGAGGGCACTTAACAATGAGAAAGCATGACCAATATGGCCTTCCTGTAGAGATGAAAGTGGGAGGGGTTTTATTGTTTAAAAACAGTATTAAATCAGCAAAAGGGAGAATGCTAAGAGGCAGGGATGAGATGTCAGTTAGTGATGCCCATTTTATAGTCCCCAATGCCTCAGACCTCACCCTCTTGTTTTGCTTTCATTTCTACTCCAACTTTACCCGAAGCTGTGTGTGCTGTGGCCCACAGACCTATTTTCTCCCTTCTCTACCACTGAGCGTTTCATAATCCTGTGTTTTCTGTCTCCTAATTACTCTGCCTCTTCCCTGTCTTCTCCTAACCCCCTCCTCTGGCTCCCGGTGGGACTGACCTCAGCGAGAACTTCCTCATACTGAGATGGGAGTGATTGCCGCCCCTTCCATTCTCACAGATGCTCACAAGTATGCTCTGTGGGACCCAGATTCCTCAGCCCCAGGAATTTCCTCTAATGGAACCTCTGCAGTGTGAGAAAAGCGAGGACAGTGTCGGGAGCCAGTGGCAACTGTCTGGCCTGATCTCAGAAAATGTTACCCTGCTGGATCCTGGGAGATTGAAAAGACAGCATATGTGTTCATCTGCATTTCTTTGTGTTAGGAATTCTGGGGCTGGGAGGAATGGTAAAATCTTGACATTGTTTATATGATTTCTCAGCAACCTCCCAGCTATGTCCTGACGTGCCAGATGGTTTTTATGGGATGTTTTAAAATATATAATACAAATTGAAGTGAATTAAAATAAATTCCATATTGTGAGGAGTTCTTTAATAAGAACATTGCCATACTGGTGGAGATAATTATAGATACCCCGAGGCATTTTCTGAGATGGGATTGAGAAACAAGGATACAGGCAAATGAAGTTGCAGGGTTGGAAATTAAAAATAGACAAAGAAGGGATCCTGGTTGTGTAGATAAATATATAGTGAATGTAGCAATTCTGAAAGCCAGACACTTAAGGAGGGGCTGAGTCACTGAGCATTTTCCAAATTACCTGGCTCCCATGGATGTTCCTTTTTTTCCTTTGGCCTGCTCTGTCCCAGACAGGCTGCATAGATGAGGCCATTCCCAGCTCCGCTGCAAGCTTTCCAGGGGGATTTCCAGGCAGGAGACTCCAGGCCTAGTGACTTACCAAGGGCTCACAGAAAGCCATGGTCAGCACCTGTTCTTTCTCTCAAGCTATTCCTGTGGTGAACATGCTGATTTAAAATGTAAAATCGATTAATTAATAGATAAGAATTATGCCTATTACGCAGAATATTTGTAGTCGTCATGGAAACCAAGAACTTGACTTAAGTTCTCTTTGTTTGCATCTAACTCCACTCAGGCTCCCTTCACCAAGCACCCTGGGCTGCATGGCTTAAGAGAGAGAAATGTACTCTCACATGGTCAAGAAGCCTGGGAAATGTAAGGTCAAAGTGTTCATCAACACATGTCCTAAGGAGAGCTGTTTTCTTGGATGCAGAGGACCCCTTTTACCCATCTTGTTCCCTGTTCCAGAGAGAAAGATGACTCTCCCATACCTGCTCCTCTCGAAAGGAACCAGCCTTGTTATATGAAGTCCCAACTCTCACTCCCTCATTTCAAATTGGTTGCCTGCCTCAGGCCATATCTCCAAATATACCAAGGTTTAGAACTTCAGACTGCCAGTTTGGGGAGGACAGAGTGCAGTGTGCAGCCCTTCTGTATGAAAGGAATGAATCTTCCGAAAGTTGAAGGAGTCCTCGCTATCAGATGCCCCAGCTCACGAGGATGTTTGCCAGGTAAAGGAAGGAGGCTGCAGTGAGGAGGGCACAGGAACTCTCAAGAGTACATGTGCTGGCACCCCAGGGATGTATACAGCCAGCCCACAGAACCACCTTCCTCCTTGCTCAGCTCCCTGTGATGTTGGAACCTTACCAGAAGTTTCTTGCATGGAACATACAGACCCGATGAAGCTTCTCTGCCACCATACAGTTATCCCTCCTGTCAGCTCCCTTAGTGCCGAGCTCCTGGGAGTAGGGTGGTGTCTTACCCATCCCCAGCTTTACAGTGGACAGTGTAGCTCTGAACACTTCATTGGTGCCCAGAAAATGTCTGTATAACAGTGAAGGGTTGTGGAGGGACAGACACAGTGAGGCCAGGGAGGAGGGAAGAAAGAGAGGGATGGGGAGAAGAAAAACCCAGAGATCTCTCTAAAAACTTCTGATGATAAACATTTGATTCATTTCATGGAGCCATTTTTTTTCTTCTTCTCTGGTCCTTAAACAGTGTTCATCTTGTTATCCTGTTAGCTTATTTCAAAGATCCAGTTGGATTAACCACCAGTGAACTTGTAGCTGGCCTTTGCCAAAAAGAATTCAACCTGGTCTAACATGTCTTATGCAATTAAACTCCTGGCCTACCTGGTAAATTCTCAAAGCCTCTTATGGTTCTCATGCCTGCTGGGGCTTTTTGATTTCTGCCCTAAGTAGCTTACTCTGTGTTTCATTCCCAAGGTCAGTGCAGAACTAGCAGCCTCTCCTATCCAGAAGCTTCCATGATCACGGATCAGAAAGTCTCACGCAGTCAGTGCATGGTTGGAAAGCAGGGCACCTGGTAGGAACAGGAGGCGGGGCTGTCTGATGTGGGCCTGTGAACAAGAGCCTAAGGAACTTCCGGAAGGAACATTGGAATGGAAAGGTCCACATGCAAAGCCAGGCATCCAGGATGACAGACAGCGAATGGGACCCAAGTGTTAGAATTCAGGAATAGCAGAGCAGGCAGGAATTATGTCCAATTAGATTTTAGTGTCATGCCACTCCCAGTCCAACAGGCCATAATCAAAGTATCCATTACTCAATGTAAGACCATGGGTGTTATAGGTGGGCAAACTTGGAAAGTCTGATATGACATACACCACATTACATTCAAGCAAATGTAGCCCTGGCTAGACCAATACATGGGGCCAGTGACAGGGACTACTGCCCCCTGTCCCCATCTTCAAAGCCATGCCAGGACTCAACTCCAGATAGGTGCATTTGAACAACTGGCTCCTCCATGGCATTGAAGCCAGGGTACAATGCACAGGATGTTTCCCACACAGCTCTCCAGGGGTGGCCAGGAGTGAAGCCATTACTCATGACCCCAGAGACATCACATGTTTCTACCCCTTTTTCATACACTCATATTCCAGAAGATCTTTGCCAAGGTACATGAATAACCTGTAAACCTAACCAGACAGCCTTAGGAAATGCCTCTGAGAATACAGGGCATCTCCCTAAAGTGATACAAACAGCAAGAGAATGTCATTTTAATAGGATTTTTACTCAGGATCTACTTATGCAAATCCCTCAAGCCAGGCAGCCAGTCATGTGCAAACTCAGACAAGAGCTCCCATCACACACAGGTAAGGTTTATCAAGCCACGGGCCTCTTGGCTTTAATATTATCTGGATATGGTTGATTCGGTGTTGTAAGTTCTGATCGTCTTCCCATTGGTTGGTATTAGAATAGTATTCTGTGGTACTCCCCATCGGAGTGACATTGAGTGACAGCCTCAGTGAATCAGAAAGAGCACAGGTGTCCCAGTTCATATGAGGAAAATAATGTATCCATGAAGAACACAGAGCTGAGAGGCAGAAATTGGTTCTCCTTTGGTTAGCCATCATCTTGCTTGTGCACCAGGGACAGAGACAGCAGGCTATGACTCACTTTGAGGAAGCTCACTGATCTCCTGGTTCATGGCCGGTGAATGTTCCCTGGCAGCATTCTCCTGCAGGAGTCCCAGACTCTAAAAACTGTGGACTGCTGAGAGAGGCAGAAGGCTTAGAGAGGCCCAGCCAGGTGAAGCCAGAGGCCTGGCTGGGTGAATTACAGATTCATCTCCAGGCCATACGAAATCTATTTTCAGTTGTCTGGAAGCTGGAGTCAGGTTTTCATGTAAGCTACCCCAATGTTTAATATGGTCTCATTCAAAAATGTATATCATGAGGCCCATCCAAATATTCTGCAGTATACCTTTATCTTCTGGCCACTAGGCAGAGTTTGTTTAATGAATGAAGGAAGGCACTTTAGATGTTTAAAAAAGAACAAAAACAAAAAAACAAAAAACATTCTCTTTG